CAACGCACGTGATAGTTCATAAGAGGAAGAACTAATCGTTTCAGCATCGTCGTTGTCACTCGCCGAATCACTGAGAATAATAATATTATTATTTTTTTTTTATAATATGTTTAAGAGTATTGAACAATATTAGTGAAGATACTATCAAATATACTTACGACAGTGACACTGGACTCAACGCACGTGATAGTTCACAAGAGGAAGAACTAATCGTTTCAGCATCGTCGTCGTCACTCACCGAATTACTAAGAATAATAATATTATTAATTTTTTTTTTATAGTATGTTTAAGAGTATTGAACATTATTAATTACGATATTATCAAAGGTACTTACTTCGGTGGCGCTGGATTCAACCAACGTGATTGTTCATAAGAGAAAAGGCTAACCGTCTCAGCATCGTCGTCGTCATTCACCGAATCCCTGAGAATAATAATATTATTAATTTTTTTTTACTGTATATTTAAAAATATTGAACATTATTAATTACGATATTATCAAAGGTACTTACTTCGGTGGCGCCGGACTCAACAAACGTGATAGTTCATAAGAAAAAAGGCTAACCGTATCAGCATCGTTGTCGTCGTTACTCACTGAATCCCTGAGAATAATAATAATAATATTATTTTTTTACTGTATATTTAAAAATATTGAACATTATTAATTACGATACTATCAAAGGTACTTACTTCGGTGGCGCCGGACTGGACGAATGTGACATTGGACTATCCATTTCATTATCGGAGTCGTCACTCGCCGAATTCCTGAAAATAATAATAATATTATTATTATTTTTACTGTATATTTAAAAATTTTGAACATTATTAATTACGATACTATCTAGAAGTCATTGTGAAAACACAAAAAAAAAAAATAGGAACAAGAAACTGTTTACTTCAGAAACTGGTTGGCTCTCAATGGGGCGCAGACCCTCATGTCCTAAGNCGTCACTCGCCGAATTCCTGAGAATAATATTATTATTTTTTTTTTACTGTATATTTAAAAATGTTGAACATTATTAATTACGATACTATCAACGGTACTTACTTCGGTGGCGCCGGACTGGACGAATGTGACATTGGACTATCCATTTCATTATCGGCGTCGTCACTCGCTGAATCGCTTGATATGATTATCGGTACGGAGTACGAATATCTTGTACTCGCGTTCGATGATAACGCATTAAGGCTGTATCTGTGCGAACAATCGTATAATTTAATTTGATACTTACAACATTATCAATGATACTTACGAAGATGACGCCAGACTGTAGGACACATGAGTCGGACTGTGCGAAGGAGATACTACTAATCCTGCAAATTTCAGAAAACTCAATACAGAGTTGCAGGACATATTTTTGAATAGTTAATTTTGCAACCCAATTTCGAGAATACTAGTGTGCTATCTAACCGTAAGTATACTCACTACATTGAATTTAAAAAGGATTCAATTACCTAATTTAGGCTATCCACTCGTATAATTATTTGGTTGTTTATTATTGTTATTATTTATTAAACCTGAACAAGTTTAATATCGGCTGATGCTCTAAATTATTTGAAATTGTAAATTCAAAAATTAAAATAATGCAACTCTAAATGTATACATACTTATGAAAATAGTATTTATAAGACTGCGGTCATTGTGTACAATAATGAACGATAATAATATTGTAATAAAGAAGTACAAAAACTTACGCGGTTTTTCTTCATCGCATTTCTGAGAACTTTTTTTATGTTTCTTTGAAAACTCGAAATCCGTTGGTGACGGTGATCGTCGTATTTTCTTTCCAATTAAATGGTTTACAACAGTTATCTGCGACAGTTCAGGAATATCAATTTTAACACTGGTGACCTTTCAATGATAGCTATTGTACCCATATTTTATAAAGAGCAAAATCATGTATGATAAACATCAATGAATGCTTTTGCGTAAAGAGAAATTATATTTTGTGAAATATTTTAGACGTATATTCGGTACGTAGAAAAAATTTATCGAGTTTTCTTATAAAAATAAACATCAACTGTTTTTTCGACCGGCCACAGATAGTAAAATTATTTGACTGCGTTGATACAACTATTTTTTTAATTCTATCTATCATATATTTACACACAAATAATGATATGCATACTGACAAAATAAATTTAAATTTTAATAATATATTTAAGCGTAGTTATGAATGTTAATGGTTTTACTATGATGTTATGGTTTTTCATATTTATTTTAATCTCAATTTCTTACTTACTTATAATATTTTTCTTATGAATCAAATAAAGGGGTTAAGAAACCATTGTTCAAATTGTCTTCAATTTTTTAAAATATTATAGCGATTTTTTACACAAACTCCACTACTCTTATCCTACCCAAATTTAAAAGTGGAAGCGCGGTGCGTTGTGAAACCGATCAAATCAGATCTTTCCTTTTATATTTAAAAACAAAAAAAGGAAAAAGAGCTGAAACTGGAGACGAATGCGGTTATTGTTCTAGGTGGGTAGTGGAGAAAGTGGGAATGAATTGATGACCCTGAATTCATATGCAGTGGATCCTAATTTTTAATCCGTGTACAAGTGTAACGGTACAACCGGGGATTGTGTATTATTCATATGATACTTAGAGTATTAGCTATTCACGAGCCCCGGAGGCTTAGGATAAGCCCCAGATGCTTGTCCAGAAGCACGGTCCCAGCTACCGCTTCCCAATTTGCATAACCGTCTGGCCACAGTTTAGCTACCGTCGGGTGGATAACCCATGGTTCATTTAACCACCTTCTAATGAAGTATCTATGTAGTAGTATAATTATATATTTATTTTATTTTTTGATTACAGACATACTTTATTTAGACATACTGCAGTGAAAATTCCATACAACAAAATCTCATATGGGAAGTAAAAAAAGTTAACAGTAATACATAGAAGAATTCGTTAAATAGAATTATTTTTTTAAAATTTGTTTGTTATTTAATTAGTTGCACATACATTCATATTTAATGTTTGTATTAATAAAAAATAAAATCAAATATTGTTTGATATTATCGAATAATTAATTCGCAAATTAATTCATTTTTTATATCGTATAAGTTACACGTGAAAATGTCTAATAGTTCTGTTATACTCTATATACTATTTTTCAAATGAGAACGCACTGCGCGTTGCGCATTATATTATTGGCGGAGGTACAACACGCCACTCCCACAGAATATGTAATTGTTCTATAATTGGTCAATTTATATCGATCAGCTACTATATAAGACGCTGCCGTGCATACAGAAAATTGAATTAATTAAATTATTGACAACGTATTTTCTACTCGTATTATCTACCAGCTACCTGTTGCACACTACAAAATATTTTTTTTTATACACTACACTTATGCATTTACTAATACATTAGTTTGACACATACGAACGGCCGTTAAATGTTATGTTAATACAGCTCACTACGTATACTATAGTGGCGTGATCGACACGCGACGGCGGCTGAAAAGGTAGCACACGATTCCGCACAATGTACCTTTTTATCTACCCGATTCCGCACAATTTCATAATACAAAAGATTTTTTTCATCTGGCTGTAATGTAACACGATTTAAAAAATATATATATAATAATATAAATAAATAAAAAAAAAAAATGATAATAAAAACAAATTGTATGGACAAATTTATTTCAATTTTCCCCCTTGATATCAAGGACCTACTTGTGATAAAAATTAAATAAATTAAATTAATTTGATTTGTATTATTGCAAGTATTTATAGTAGATTCCATACGTTATTTTTCTCTTGCGTTCAACATTTTCTGATCACTGTACTATATAATCAATCTGAATTTAGTTTCGGTTTCCAACTGAAATTCCATCAATACTTTTATAACTAAATAAATATAAAAGTGAGGGTGATAAAATTGGTTGTTATATATGCGATGAAAGCTTTCAAAACCATTAGTTGTCCTATAAAAAGTGTTAGTAATGTATAGTAATATATAATATAGTATATTATAAACATTATTGTTGAAGTAATCTAAATCAAGTTGTTAAAGTTCATTAAAAATTTATTTTTATTTTAAATTTATCGAAAACTTTTTTGTCGTAGTTTTTTTTAGCCTAACCTTTCTACGTTTTTACCAATTATTATAAAAACTAATTCGAAAATCAAAAAACGATCTGCATCATTAAAACAAGATTAATAATTCAATAAAAAAGGTCTCTTGTCATTTTTCAATTGGAGACATATTTGTGCTAAAAAACGTGGTATAGATACTTATTTAAAATAACGAATTCGTAAACAAAATCGTATTTTTTTTCTGGTTAGTCGTTTTTATTTTAAATATCGTTACGAAAATCCAAAAATAACCCTATGCATTTACCATGTAGATAAAAGTGATTTTCAGAAAAAGTGCTACACTTATACATCGGAGTAAGTTTTCTAGGATAAAAGTGATCTACAGTATATAAAAAAAGTACCACTGTAAAAAAATTAAAAAAAGGAAAACAAGTAGTCCGACGATTTTGAAAATTTTACCACATCTAGGTAGGTTCAATATTAGTATTATTAGTATTATATTAATATTAGTGTTATTAAGTTTCAAGTCTCTACGTGTATTTATAAGCGAATAACAGCAAAAAATTCCCGACAATTAAAATTCCTTAAAAGCTTAAAAGTGGCTCAAAAGTTTTGGCGACGATACCGTAAAGACGAAAATCAAAAAGGGAACAAAAGAGGTATTTTATGATTTTTCGATTAAACCATTTTTTTTTGGGAGAAAACGTCGTCCGTGCTTTTATAAAATAATGAAATCGTGAAATTGTATGTTTTCCTACGTTTTTTCCTCACTTAATTTTTTTGTTTAATAAATAGGGTAGAAAATCAAAAAGTGGCTTGCTAAAAGTACCATCTAGACGAGTTAAACTTTCAGAAAAGTTGCTACATGTACAAATCAAAGCAAGTTTATTAAAAAAAACGTGTCCACAGATTAGAACAATGAAAAAAAAGAAGAAGAAATAAACAACATTTTAAAACCAATAGTTCCCTCGCTATGCTCGGAATCTAAAATGAAACATGGGAAAAGATTGCTAGTAAATTCACCATGACTTTTCCTATTTTTTGTAAAATTACTTTACCACAATTGTTTTCGTATATTTAATGAGTATGAAAAAAAAGTTCATCAAATTCATTATCGATATCTGATTCAGAACATAAATGCATTAAATTTTTGGCTGACACAGAATTGCTTAGTAATATGCGATCATGTAGGTCACACAGTTTTTCCGGTGCTGTGCTGCCCTACACTGAGCTTCGTCGCATGCGTTTCAATGTGCGCTCGGCACGATTATTGATACGCCACTTTATTAAATATTTTACTTTATTGAGACGCAATTTTAATATTTACAAATACCTACGAACAAACTATTTTATAAACTCTTCGAGACATCCTCGCAGTGCCATAAAATTTACAATAAATTGTCCTTCTTGAAGCCTTTTTAAACTAATCGGATATATCCAATATCGTTTTTTAATAATATTTTTTTTTTTTAAATTAGTGACGTTTATACAGCGCATTTGCCACAGCTATGACATCAACATCATTTAAAATCCCGTCCATATTATGTACCTAATATACAATGTATATAATATATAAACTATAGGTACCAAAAAAAGAAATAGATAGAAAATCTATTTATTTTAGCAATAAATAGAAAACCGCACGACAGCCTTATCAAGGAAAACAGTTTTTACGAACCGCTCTGTGTGTAACGTGGCTTAAGTGTATTGATTGATATTTCGCAGTTTTATTTCACCGGTTTATCTCATTTTATGTATCTGTATAGTTGTAAAAAGTAAACTAAAATAATTCTGTAATCCCTAATGAAGTGGTCAAATCAAATGTTAATAGAAATACAATACACTATTGATTGATATTTCGCAGATTTATTTTAACGGTTTATCTTATTTTCTTATAGGTTTTTCGTTGAAATCGCTGACTTGTTTAAACTGACTTATTTATCGTAAAATAATTTAGCGAACTTTTATATCATACTCATCATTAAAATACGCCCCCCACACTCCTCAATAATATTGGAATATTCATTAAAGTCATAAGCTTCATATTTTACAAAATGCATTTATTTTTATATTTTATATATTAAAATAACCTAGTTTCTGTGAGCCAACTACACCATAAGAACCAAAAGCAATACAATATTTACAGAAGGCGCCATTAAGCTTTTAAAAATATCTAAATGCGGGAAAAGTTTTAAGCTATTTGTACTGAAATTTAAGATCTCTTTTTTTATTTATTTCCAATAATGGAAGCTTGAAGTTATCTGGTGGTGTCTACAAAATTGTTAACACATACACATAATACAAATAACAAGAATCAAGATATTAATTATTAGATATTCTTAACTAATGACATGTGTATAAATGATTGTAAAAATGGCTTACTATATTTCTTTCATCAGCCAGCAAACTACGATTTATAAAAAGTGCGATACATTCTTATTATGAGTAATTACATTGCTCTACTATACATGCTCTTGCTATTTAATCTATATTGCTGGGTAAGCGAATAAATGTAAATTAGTGCACTTAATAAAAACCATGATAACATTAGCTATTAGTAAAGCGCGGATTTATATATGCATTAAAATGTTAAAATAAGCATGAAAAATAAAAAATAGACATATAAAAAATTAGCAAAACAATTTATTTTTTGAACATTTAATTAAATAAAAAATTTAAAATTATGGAACCCTACTATAAATACTTTTCTTCATTTTTTTTAGTCCCTTTCATCATTTTGTAGGTAGTTTTTATGTATAAGACTCTCAATGACGACGATTTTGATGAAAATAAAGTAATAAAAACGCGGTAAATATTTTAACGCGACGGAAATAATGTCAATGGTTAATGGTCGTAACCGATATTTTCTTATCTTGGTATACGTATTTTATTTCACAGATTATTGATCTAAGATCATATTTGCAAAATCGTTTGTACCTACAAGTTCACCTATTCATTTATTTTGATATCAATCGTAAATATAAAAATACGAGGTGTGGCTATTAAATAACGAGACTGGTTACGAAAAAGTATTTTATTATAAAAATTATTCTACATTAAAATGCTCCCCTTCAATATACTCCCCTCCCCTCGCCACACACCGTTTCATTCGTTTCTTCCATTGCTCGAGGCAGTGCTGGAAGTCTGTTTTCGTAAGACCATTCAGGAGTTCCACCGATTTTTGTTTCACCTCTTCCATCGACTCAAACCGGATTCCTTTTAAGGCAGACTTTATCTTCGGAAACAAGTAAAAGTCGCAGGGTGCCAAGTCGGGTGAGTAAGACGCGTGTTCGAGTACTGGAGTGCCTTAAGCGGCCAAATAACGCTTCACGCTTTATCCTGGTGCAAGATCCACGACTTGTTTTTCCACAATATCGACCGTTTCTTACGAACTCATTCGCGCAATGTTGCCAAAACTGTCAAATAGTAATGTTGGTTCACAGTTTGACCNCTGAATTGGATTCCGGTGCACTCTCGACCTTCAGAAAATAATTTATGCCACTCAAAAACACGCACCCGAGATAGGAAATCCTCACTATAGGTCTCTTTTAACAACTTATAGCACTCAGTTGGAGTTTTTTTTAGTTTAACGAGAAAATTTTACGTTTATCCGTTGCTCATATTTTTCGTCACACATGGTATTCGGCACGAGAAAAAAACACGTTCGTTTCAAAACACTATTGCACAAATACTATAATAGTGACGAAAACGTGTTTTGGTACGTGCATAGATAAGATATCTAGATACCCAACGCATTACTCGTTTTTTTCACTACCCATCTAGGGCGCCCTCTAGGCGAGCATTCTCGTTATTTAATAGCTACACCTCGTATAATATTTTTTTCTTGTATTATAATAGTATATATTCCAAAAACATCTAAAAAAAAAAAATTGAAATATGCACTAAAAGATGAAATACGCAAATAAAATTACAAAATAAGCCATTAAAATGTAAAAAAATTGGTAAATGTCGAAGTATGCCAAAATATGCATTAAAAAGTTTCATTTTTTAAATTATTATATAATAAATTTTAAAAGCACATTTTTGCTCACTTAGCATGACATAAAATCAACTAGAATAAATATGCAAATAATTAATTAGCATAAAATATTTGATACATTAATTATTATTGTTAAATGTATTTTTTACCTTTGGATCATTAGTGCTTACTGTTGTACAATCAACCTGGTTGTTACATTTATCATCTTTTTCGGGCTGCTGACTTGCCAACACTTTATTCTGGTCTGTGACAGTTAACTCACTCATAGAAACAGATCTTACGCTATGTATTTTTGAAATAAAAACCAGGGTTCCATTAGCCCTTTCCATTTTGAATAATTTAATATTAACAAGGAGGAAATAAGTTTCTTAACAACCGTAAAATATTCTCAATATTATTACGTAAAATACTCAGTTATTGATTATAATCATAATCAATACTACCAGTGCTACCACTTTACTTGCTATTATTAATAAGGAATACACTCAGTTGTCTCGGTGTGATAGGAAACATAATCTTAACAAAAAAAATAATACTATTTTATATATATTATAATTATTAAAATATTATATTTCTGATCATACCGGGAAAAATGATATACGCCCTATTAATAATTATATTAGTATACTAATATAATACGTTATACCACAGTACCAATATCATTAACGTAGAATATGATAACAATCAACGAGTTAAAAACCTGACTCAATTACCACTAAAATGCTAAATATCGTCAACAGCTACTTTTTATTTAGCACTAAAAAAAAAGAAAAAGGCCATGGGTGAATTATCCCCAATATCCCACCCGTGAATACGCTCATGTTTTATTCGCTTATTTTGCTGTTAGTTCTCACATTTTTTTTTCTTTTTATACCTCAATTTATTTTTTCAGGTATACAGGCTGTCCCACAAAGATATACCCCTGAAATATCTCCGGAGATAATAAAGATAAACAAATTATTCAGTAGTGGTTCTAGCGTATGGGCAGGGTGGGCAGCTGCCCATACCAAAATTTCTGGTGCCCATTATTTTAAAAATGTTATTTTTATACAAAAAATAAGATGTTTCATCATTTGATAAATTATAATGATAATTTACAATTATATTATTATCATTACATTGATGACGAACTTACTAATATATACGATTTAAGATATAATAGGTATTATATCTTTAATACAATTTATATTAAAAATATAATAGGTATTATATCTTTAATCGTGCTAATATATTATCTATGTGATAATGTCGCTGCTAGAGCTTGCAGCTGTTTTAGCGTTGATAGTACTATCTTAGTTCATAATTGACGGGTGTGAACGACACTAGACGTTCGAACGGTAGCTATCATAATATCGGTATCTTCATAATAACCGGCATAACGTGATAACAAATTATTACATATTGTGTAGATATAATATGACTATTGTATTGTTTTTTTCTCATTGTGAATTTTCGTTGTTTCTATTAATTTAATATAATGAAGAGATTTTTAACTCGTTTTTCCAAACATAAGGCCGAAAAAACAATTGAAGGAGACACACCAAAATCTCCATCAGTACATACAAATGACTCTACAGCTAGTGAAAACACCAGTGTAAATAGTAGTATTGCTTTTAACCCAGAACCGACCAGACAATTGGTAAAATCTTTAAAAATATTAGACTTAAGTTTAAACTATGATCAACCTCCTGTATAACCAAATATTGTTTATCCTTACAAATTAATGGGTTAAAGTAAACGGTCCTTTAATAGTACTTGGTATAAACAGTATCCATGGATTGAGTACTCAATACAATTTGATCAAATTTTTTGTTATTATTGTAGACATTCTTTACTACCAAGTCAACATTGTAACCCTAAAGCTGGTAATCTAACAATTCATGGTTATTCNTTATTTTTATAAATCCAGTATTTCACACCAGAATAAGTTTTGTTACAACAATATGGGGTAAACTTTGATGAAAAATAATAATATAATATAATAGAAAATACTTTAAAAAACTTCTCAATTTGGCATTATCACTAAAATTTTTCAAATAATAGTATAATAAATTTAAATGATTTTATATTAATTTTTCAAAGACATTTTCAAAAACTTTAAATAGTTATATGATTAACTATATTTTGTTAAATATATGGGCACAATTAGGATTTTATAAGATATAAATCAAATCATTTATATAATTTATCAACAGCTTTATCAAATTCATTTAAACGAAATAAAAAAATATGCAAATGCATAAAAAACTTAGTAATAATGGTTATTGATCAGTGATGATAACTCTTAAATAGAAAAAATTACAATATTGTTCAAACACGAATTTGTAAACAGTAAATTTAGTTAATCTAAGTTAGTTAACTACATACATATAAAGATTGAACATACACAAAAATTTAATAAATATAAAAGATAAAGTATTAAAATTGAATAATAGGTTTTTTTTGTATACCTCTACTATAAGTAAAAATTCTAAACATTCTCTTTGATCTTCTATAAGTTTTATAACTTGATTATTATTTATTACTTTTATTACTTAACCTATTTAATATCTAATGCATAATATTTATATTTATATTTTATATTTATTTATGGGCACACGGCCCAAAGGTGTGATTACAGTTACATATAATTGAGATTAAATTAAGAAACAGAAAGTAAGAAAATTAACAGTTAACATAACATAAAATTTGCAAAAATTTAGAAAACATAAAGTAATTAATAATTAACAAAACACATAAAAAGATAATATACTTATAGCCTATAGGCTAAATAAGGTTGGGTGTTCATTTGCCAAAAGCATCATTCGATCAATCGGGTTATTCTTACCATAGTTAGTATGATGTAAATGAATAACAAAAGGATAACGTGATCTCGAAAGACGTGGAGGCACTCTAAAATTAACTTGGGAGATTAAAGAGGGAGCATCAATATGACCATGAATTAATTTGCTCAGAAATACTAAATTCGCTGTCACACGTCTATCTACCAAAGAATACAGTCCAAGCATATTAGAAACGGGAAGGTAGTCATGCTTTGTATGCTCAATTTTTAAAATATTGGC